CATAATCATTACACTCTTCTCTCACAAAAAAAGTCAAAAAAGTCAAAAAATCAAAAAGTCCTTCCCATACCAAACTTTTTAGCCCAAGTTAAAATAGTCAAAAAAACCAAAAAGCCAATCCACTTCCTAAACGAAGCCCACAAAAATGTTATTTATTCACCAAAATAGCATTGTCACATCATTTTTGTGATTTTTTTGTACGAATTTTATATATGAATAACATTTTTCTTTTTATAGTATTGAACGAACTACATTCCAAATCAATTTAATAAGTGTTCCTTTGTATAATTTAAATCGTTCAAATTCTGAAATAATTATTTTTTCATTAAATTTGACCTCAAAAATTGTAAATTTGTATAAATGTCTCTAATTAGATCACATAAATATAATTATAAATTTTAAGAACTCAATAGGCAAAATTGAGAATTTAATAAAGAAATAGAAAAAAATAAGAATAATGTAATGGATAAATGTGTAATTAACCTTTTCCTTTTATTTTACACTTCTCATCTCTTTTATTCTAATCAAACTCAATTTAAAACAATAATAAAAAAATCATAAGGATATGGCCGGCTGTAAGTTGGCAATTTGGAATAAAAAAACAAAATAAAAAATATTTTTCTATGTACAATAAAATAATTTATGTATCCATTAAACTCTTGACCAATAAAATTCTATACATTAGCTGACAGAATTAAAGTTAAAGTAGTAAATTGCTAACACCACAATCAACTCTCCAATTAAATTTCACAGTTGACCTTTCAATCTAACCAGCACATGATTCAATCACCACTCAAACTATGTAAAATAAATAAACTAAATAAAATAAATTACATTTTACACTACTATAATTTATACGAAATCTCACCTTAGTTTTTATTTTTAATTGCAATATTATTTTTAATTACAACAATCAATCTCTTACTCGTTTAATTAAATTACAATGTAACATTTTTGTCTATCTAATGTTAAATTAGCTAATGAAAATTGACATGTGATACTCATTTGAGGTATTTTGAAGAGTGCATAAGTAATTTTATTATGGAAAACACTATAACAAAATGAGATTTGGTATAAATTATTAGAGTGCAATATGTAATTTATGTATAAAAAAAGGATTAATTTTACTTTTATTTCCTAAATTATCACTATATTTTTCTAGGGGAATTTTTTTTCAAGTCCCTAGTATTGAGACTTTACAGCATAAAGGACACTCAATATTTTCATAATGTTTAAGATCCCTCAAGATGATCCAGAGAAAATTGGCCCAGAGAAAATTGATCCAGAAAAAATTGGTTCAGAGAAAATTCCTCAATATTTTCATAATTGATTAGAAGCACCGTTACAATTAGCAAAAATTGATTAGCTTCTCAAATACTAGCAGAAGCACCGTTTCAATTAGCAAAGGCTCCTTCGGTTGTGTCTTGGAGAGACTCGCTTCTTTTTTTGTTCCTTCTCCAGCCTCGGTAGATGGATATGTTGATGAGCTGTGTTTTTTTAGCAGGGCAGCAGTAAATCCAGCGGCTTAGACCTACAATTACAAAGGTTGTGCTCTTAAGAAACAAGTAAAAATGAAAAGCCAACAACATCCAGCATGTTTTATTATCAACAAAGGGAGCAATAAACTGAAACTCTAAAATCAGAGTATATAAAAATGTAAAATCAATTTATGCTTGAAACCGGTTACCATAAAGTTGCCAAATTTCTCTGGACAATATTGAGGACTAGTTCAATCCAAACCAGAGAATTTCTCTGGGCCAATCCAGAGAAATTTCAATTTAAACCCGAGAATTTCTCTAGACCAACCCAAAGAAATTTCAGTTCAAACAAGAAAATTTCTCTTCACCAATCCAGAGAAATTTCAGTTCAAAGCAGAAAGAGAAGATCATTTCATTGAGTGAATAAGCAACAATAAACAAATTTCTGTGTGTTTGTTTTTCTGAAATTTCACTGACTTGTCACCATTTCCAGCCTCACATATGTAAATTACTATTTTTCCAACAAGTTGGAAAATTCTTTGTCATTCCATTTTGGTATCAGTGTATCACATTTTTTTTTTCTTTTGGTAAGAAAAGAAAATTTTGTATTAGTATATTGAAATTTAATTTCCCATGTAACAATATTCCTACCCCACCCCACCCTACTTTTTTTATTATGCTTGATACCTTTATCTTTGCCAGAGATAAAAACCTGGATGTGAGTCCATGGTTTATTGCATTTTCAGACTTCTGAAGATTGATGCTTAACAACACCTCCTGTACCGTGGGATCCAGAAATTAATTTGATAATTGACAGATAATCATATGTGCCTAATTGTAGGTTTCTGAATATGCAAGTTGGTCAGGATGTTTCTACGTTCGAATAATCTATGTTGCCCTTGCTGCTGTAGGCGCTCCTGAAAATCTGGTTGATATAATAACAGAAGAAGAACCTACAGCCTCTTGATTGCTTCGCCCGCCTCGCTCTGGTAATGACGGAATACTGGCAGGGCAGCAAGGGGACGAAGTCAGATCGGCGAAGCTTAGCCATCGCCGTGAACCGCCGTCGTCTCAGTTGCACCAAATTTGCACCAGATCTTCATCTACAACAAAATCTCCCGCAACTTTGCATTCGACGCCTTCTTCAGCAACTCCGATTGCCATCATCGCTTCTCTCTCTCTCTCCTCTGTATTCTCTCTCTCTCTCTCTATATATATATGTGTATATATATCACCCATTCATCAGATTTGAGAGTGAGTACTATAGTGTAATGGTAATCTCAATCACACACAGATCGATTGACTGAGTCAAATTTCTCTAATACATGTTTAGGGACCTTAGACATTAAAAAATTATTTTATGGATCTCTTCCATTACGAAAAGTGCGAGAGGGACCCTAGGCTAATTTTTTTCATTTTTCTACTGCATCTCTAAATTATCATTTTTGTATATTTAGTCTTTAAAATTTTTAATTTCTATTCATATAATTTAATTGGAGATGATAATAGTTAACAGTTGAAACCTAATTTAATAAATAAATTAAAAAAAATCTTTTATAATTTGAACCACTTAAACCCTACAACAAAAACAATAATTGTTCTTATTATCGTAAACAAACTACGTATACCAAACCAATTTAAAGGGTGTTAATTTGTATAATTTAAGTTCTATTTAAAAAAAAAAACATTGTATAAAATTTAAGTTATCTAAATTTTAAAATTATCTTCTTTTTTATTTATTTATCTCAATTTAAGTTTACGGAAATGATTGAGACCCCACAGCGGTCACCCCGTGGCCCCTACGGGCTTGTGATTGGTCAATTTTTATTTTTTTTTCTTCTCCTCTAATCACCAACCCCCCATGTGTGTGTGGGGGTAGGGGGAGAGGGGATCTGGATCATTTTTCTTAAGCTTAAGTGATTACTGATTTGTACAAGGGAAAATTAGTCTAGGGTCCCTCTTCCACTTTTCGTAATGGAAGAGATCCAAAAAAATATTTTTTGATGTCTAAGGTCCCTAAACATATATCAGAGAAATTTGACTCTTTGCCCACGATTTCTGCGACTTCTTCGAACATTCTATGACCGAGTTCACTACTTTGGTCGTTGCATTGCAACTATTGAGAGAGGGTTAACGTTTTCCAAGAAAATTTATCAATATATGCGTTGAGAAAGCCCTTTGGTGGTGAGAAAATCTGGGAAAATTTGGGCTCCCTGGAAGCTTCGATCTGAGATGAGGTGACTGTGGACACCCCCTCTCTCTCCCTTATCGTGAGCTTCGTGTTCTGGAATTTATGAGCACGAGATCTCGAAGCTCGATACTGGTAAAAGCCAATTTGTGATTCTCTGCTCGTTCTCGTTCTCTTTCTCTTTCTCTTTCGTCGCTTTGATTAGGGCTTCAAACTTTCCTTTCCAGTTCCGTTTCGGAATTTCTCTGGATAATCTAAGCACAATGGGAGCTGTTTGCTCGGCTGGGACGACTATGAAGAAAAATCCAGAGTTCCGAGAAAAGAATTCGGGGTTTTCTAGGAAACTCAAGTCCATGAGGAGCTTTAGTAAGGATACGGATGATTCTTATTCGTATTCAGATGTTGACGGTTTCGAGAACACTTCACAGAATTTTGATTCCGGCGAGCTTCGATTGTCCATTTCTCATGAACTCAAGCCTTCTATACCTACTAGGACGGTGACAAACAAGGTAGTTATACATCTCTTGCTTGTAATCAATGATTGTTAGTGTTTATTTTGATCCTAGTGTGAGCAAGTGATTTTAAGTATTCGATCAGATACACAAAAAAAAATAAATAAATAAAAATAAAAATGAAGGATCCCCAGATAAATTCTCTGGGTTTGAACTAAAATTTCTCTAGGTTGATTTTGAAATTTCTCTGAAGAGATAATGTTATGGAAATGCATATAAATTTCTCTGGAGAGTCTATGAAAGACTAAGGAGGCCAGAGAAATTTAAAATTTCTCTGGACTAATTTTCTCTGGACCAATTTTCTTTGCACTAATTTTCTCTGAACTAATTTTCTCTGGATCAACTTGAGGGACCTTAGACATTATAAAAATATTAAATGTCCTCTATACTATAAAATTTTAATATGAGGGACCTTAAAAAAAAAAAAACCCTTTTGTACAATAGTCTTTAATTGAATGAAAATAAATTAAAATAAGTGAAATTGATAATTTAAAGATGAAATCAAAATAAAAGACGATAATTTAAGTGATAAAATTGAAATTAATATGTATATAATATAGGAAAAATAACCGACAAGTATAAATTATTTTCATTTTCATATACTCCTACATGAAAAACGACAAGAGAGATAGAGATAGAGATAGAGACAGACAGGGAGAGTGACGGAGAAGAAGCGTCGTAGGTAATTAACGGAGACCTCTCTCTCTCTCTCTCACAAACCCATTTGCTCTTTCTCTCTCTAAACCTCTGATCTGAAAAGTTTCAGTCATCAAAGGCAAGTTCTCATTTTCTGTGTGTTAAGCCTCTTTCAATTTGAATTGTTGTGAATAAGATGAATTTACTCTGTACATGAATGTTTGTTTGAGTCTATGTAATCTAGGTTCTATCTGAAGTTCTGGGTTTTTGTTTTTGAGGTGGAAAGAGCTTCATTTCAGCATTTTATAGTGTGGGTTATACAGTATGTTTGGATTGGAGGTTGTTGAGTTTATATGAGATTGATGTTGAGTTGAATTCTTCATCTTTTGTGTATGTTATCATATTTATTAGGTGAGTTTTCAACCTAAATTTTTTGTGTGTTTTCTAGCTTAGAGTTGATTTTAGATTAATTTACTTTTGTTTATATCTTAGAGATTGTTGAGTTTATGTAAGATTGATGCTGAGTTGAAACTCTTCCTTTTTTGTGTATGTTATCATATTTTATTGGGTGAGATTTCAACCCAAGTTTTGTGTGTTTTCTAGCTTAGAGATTGATTTTAGCTTAATTCCATTTTTTCTAGCTAAGAGATTGATTTTTTCTAGCCTTAGCCTTTCTAGAAATGGGGATATGGCTCATCTTGCCCTCCCCAAACCCAATTTTAGCAGGAGCGTCATGCACTTGGTCGATCTGAGATTGATTTTAGTTTAATTTAGATTCTTTTCTAAATTTACACGTAACTCTATAATCAAATGTAACAATGAAACGAATGCGTACTCTGTATAGTATGTATACATACACACCCCCAAATAACAACAAATTCCAAATGATTTAAAAAACGTCAAAAGGGGCATTGGTTTTTGGTGAAATTTGTGTTCTAATGATGGAGCATAGTAATGAAATTGAGTTCTTGTTTTTTGGTGGTTCAACAAGATTGACTAGGAGTTGTATTGGTAGGGATCGCTCTGCCACCTGCCTTTTTTTTATCCTAGGCATACTGCTTAGCAAAGGAATGGGTAAGGTCATATCATAGAGTGGAAGCATTTTCTGGCTCAGTGTGTGGGTTGAGGATCTGAAAACCATTTTTTTGTGTGGTGCCTCAATGAAATCACTGCTATGAATCTTTGCAACTTGAACAAAAAATGTGTCAAGTAGTGTCAAATTAGATGTATGGCTCTTTGTTAGGCATAAAGGGTTGTCACAGTGCACGAGCCTCCTGCCTTGCAGGGTCTGACAAGGAGGGTCAAATGTGCGTAGCCTTAACGCGTATGTGGAGAGATTGTTTTCATGAGTTGAACTTGTGACACCCAGGTCACACTAGGGCAACCTTACTGTTGCGCCAAGGCCCATCCTCCTGGCTCTTTGTTAGACACGCGTTTCGTGTTTAATAAATATTTATCATCTCATGACATGTAAGCCTATTGATAGTGATAAACTCTACTATCAATATACTTGTGTTAAATACTTGTTTTTGGTCATGTGTACACCACAGGGAAGGCAATGCCGTTTTACGCAATATGCAAATAAACAGTATAGGCTGACACTCAACCCTTTTAACACCAAAACAATTTGTAAAATTCCAGTATTTTATTTGCATTTGTTTTCATGTAGACCAAGTGTAGCATACCTAAAGTGAAATCTGAACAGTAAAGTTGTATGTTGGGATAAGGTTAAATCTGAAACACTCTTCTTAATTATGTAAAGCAGGTAGTTTGGAGGGTGGCTCCGTAACTGAAGACCTCAATCTACTAGACACATCAGCAATAGTACACATGGAGCCAAGTAATCAACTTGATTTTCATTTTCCTAACTAGTGTTTCATGTCCATGCTAGAAACATAAATATACCGTTGTCTGATATTTTCGTGTTGAAATCTCTGATTATCAACTAGTATGAGACATATATTACAAAGCAATAAGCATGAAGAATAGAGAAGCTGAAGAATGTCAATTTAGTTGGTAAAGTTGTTTATTCCTAAAAAAATAACCCCATTAGATTGAACAAACATTCCAGTTTATTGGTTGTGATGATAGGAGAAATAGCCGTTTAGTTTCAAATACAAAAAGAAAAACATTACCTAGGTGATTCTGTTCTAATAAATAAATAAATAAATCATAAAGAATCCTCTCCTTTTGTAACTAAACTACACTTGGTGCCACGTACTAGTGTAGACTCAGCCATCCACTTGTGGAGAGAGATTACAAAAAGGAGCTTTAAAGTTACTACGAGCAACTCTACAGTCCAATTTCAGGCTTAGGTAGAAGTATTCCAACTGAGAGGATGTTGCTCTTGGTAGTTTGACAATGCATCAACATCAGTTAAAAGGCAAATGAAAAAACTTAACTAGGTTGCCATGAAAGATTTTACATTGCTTCATGTTTATGTTTTCAACTACATTGTTCATGCCTGTCGTATTGCATGAAATAATGAAATTTTTTTTCAGTCTATTTGGTTGAGTTTTCATAATCTGCTTTTTGAAAAAAATTTAAAATCTAGTTCGGTAAAAAAAATCAAAACCACCTATTATTTCACATGTTTTTCTCTTTTTGGGGGCAAAAATAATTTTAAATTTTTTAGAATATATATTTTAATGTTTATTTTTGTCAAACTAGTTTCTAATTTTTCAACCAAAAATAAATAAATAAATAGAAAACAAGATTTGAAAACTCAACCAAAGTTGGGATTTGTGAAGAGACAATTGAAGCCGTTAGTTACTTTCCAAGATTGATAGATGGCGGATCACATTATATCTAAGCCATAGGAGGATTTGGTAACATTTCACTCTACTTAAAAGTTCCATACCCAACTGAATCTTTAAATTTGGTTCTGTTTGTAAGATAAATTATCCATTCTGAATTATGGGGAGGGTAATGGAGAAAGAGGGAAAACATAATAACTAAGAAATAGCTACCTAATTCCTAATAACTGTAAATTGGGATTTCTTGGTGTCACAGATGCTACTATCGAGGAGGGAAAGGGTTTAAGAAATGACCCGGAATTGGTGAGATCTGTTGCTGACAAGCACTTTGATCTTCTGAGGCCTTCAGCTCGATATTCACTGTTTAAAGGTAGTGATCCAATTTTGATGTACTAAATACTCTGTGGGTCATTTTTACGTTCTCAAATTCAATGTACTTTCTCCGATTCAGTAACGTTTTATTGAGTTAAGCATGTAGGATATCAGTCTGAATAATCTTTGATGTTCATTGGATGTATATTTTGAATGAAAACTGGATTTTAACATTTCACCGCTTAACTTGTAAACACATTTGACTGCCATTCATTATGATTTTATCAAACTTCATCACCGTGTCGTTGTTATTAGGATTTTACTCCCTACTGAAGTAGTAGTGGCTTGCTTATATAAACATACAAACATTTATCACCTTCTAACAACGAAGGGCATATTTTGTATCATTTTTGCTTTTTGTTCTCGAATACAGAAGAAACAGAAACTGATACAAAAAACTTGTTTGACAAATTGTTTTTGAAAAAATGTTCTCGATAAAGATTTCTGAAACACTCCTTTAGGAAACACTATAAAATTGTTTTTCAAAATTTCAAAAACTATTTCTAGACAAAAGTAAAAGTGGTGGGTGCTTCCAAACTTTTCTTTGTTTTTAATTTTGGAAACACAAAATAAAAACGAAAATTTTAAAAGCATACTAAACAGGTTGAAAGTTTTCTTCTTGTATACTAAATCAAGCTTCATCTCTACTCTTGTGCCTTTTATCTGAACTCTGATGGGTTGTCGTGGTGATGGCACGTTAATTTTCTTTAAATAATATATGATTCATGTGATGGTATTTTTTTGTTAAAAAATAACTGATATAGAAATTGATCTTTTTATTAAACAAATGCCCCGAATTCTGAGAAATTTTCTTGTGCTGGCAGGGCAAACGACAGATGCTGCAGACCATGAGAAAGGCAAGTATACCCTTATTAGAGACACTGAGGACTTCCAAGTAGGGGCTTTTGACAAGCCCCTTCCTTGCTTTGGTTGCGGGATAGGATGGTTTTGGTGAGCATTCTCCATTCCTTCCTCCATTTTCCCTAATTCCTGTATTGCTGATATTTTTTTTTGTTTTCAGTTTTCTATTAGGCTTTGTGTTCCCATTAATGTGGTACTATGCTGCATTTCTCTACTTTGGAAACTACTATCGGAAGGATCCAAGAGAGCGAGCTGGCCTTGCTGCTTCTGCAATTACCGTATGTATTTCTCTCTCTCTCTCACTCAATTGAGAAAGTCTAACCATAAGAACTATTATTGGATTCAAATTTGTGTATGTCTATATGTTCTCCTCTTGGTTTTTGATATAGAAGTTAAGTAAATTATGCCAAAGGTCCCTGAACTTTTCATTTTTTTCAATTGAGCCCCTAAACTAAATTTTCATTCATTTGGCCCTCTAACTTCCCAAATCGATTCAATGTAGCTCTTCTGTTACATTTTGTCCACTTTAGGCGTTGAATACACTATATGAGACCTAACTAAAAGGTAAATTGGTTAACTTAATCATAAATTCATATTCCTAATCGGAAAACAAAAAATTAATACCATAGAATCAAGCACCTTTTCCTTCACTAGCACAAGGTCTCAGGACGTTAGTTTAATTTTATCAATTTGTCCTTTAGGTTAGTCCTATAGATATACTTAATTGCCAAAAGTAAACAGAATGAAACATAATGGCTAAATTGAATCAATTTGGAAAGTTGGAGAACTTATTTGAAAGAAAACTTTGTAAAAAATTGCAAAGTTTAGGGGTTTGTAGTGTAGTTTATACTCTAAAATTTAAACCTTTTAGCTTTGTTATCAGCTTAAAATGGTATAAAAAGCTAAAATTTAAACCTTTTAGCTTTGTTATCAGCTTAAAATGGTATAAAAAGCGGTAGTTGTACTAGCATTTGATCAATAAAACTAGGGCTTTTGTTGCAGGCAATGGGATGTTCAGTTATATTGTTGATCGTAGCATTGGTTCTTTTAATGTAGCTGCTCTGTCAAACTCACTCTCCTCGTCACACCATTGTCGTTCTGCGACCATTCAGCAAGACGAGTTGAATCGTAAGAGACAGTGATGTGTGTTTGGATATAAGGATTTTCAGCACAAGAAAGCAAAAGTAAAGATGTCTGAAATGTTTTTTGATGACACGAAATGTCGATAAAAACCAAAATTGCCTGTACACGTCTGTTGGGGCTGTGTGAAGAGATGAACAGTACATAAATTATTTCATATAGTATGTAATTTTGAAACTGTACAGAAGTTTTCTTCCATAGCCTTGTCAACTCTATACAAATTGAAGCTTTAGTCATGAATAAAGTAATCTAGTATGTTTGTTAAGTTGCTCTTCTTGTCCGAGGTTTGAATGGAGAGGTGGAAGTAGAAAGTTACATGAAATATATTTATTAGGGTAAAATTACACATTTAATTTTTATAGTTTGATCTAAATTTCATTTTGATATCTGTTGTTTCAAGTTGAACAATTAGCATTCTACTCCTTAAATCTAGTTTTAATTTGGTTCTTCTGTTCAAGTTGAAAGTTAAAATTAACGATTTCGGACACTTATTAATCTTTTGAGGTGTATAAAAAAAAAATTAACCGAAATTTGAATGGAATGCTCAAATTGAAATTAAACTTTATATAAATGATCAAATTGAAATAACATGAATCAAAATGAAATTGAGTCAAATTATAAAAGTGAAAAGTGTAATTTATCCAATTTAATTATGTACACATTTTTGACATCTTTAATAGGTTTTACAAAGTAGTTATTGTCAAAAGTGACAGGAAGCTTGTACATGACATCTTTTCGTTATGCCTATAATGAACAAGTCATTTTATTACATTTTGCTCATGATATGATTATTAGACTAGTTGATTCTATTACTGCTATTCAATGCAACGATAATACATCATATGCTAAATAAAATGTGATAAAAATCAGAGGCAGGGGTAAAGAGGGTCCAGGGGTTTACGTGCCTCCCTTAAATTTTGGATTTTTTTATTTTTTTTCAAACATAAAGAAAATATTTTAAACAAAAAAAAATTATAAAAATATTATTTAGAGTGAGATGTCAATGATATTTTTTAAATTATGAAAATAATAATAGTTATTTTGATTGAAAATAAAAAGACTACGATATTATTATCAATAAAAATTCTAATATAATAGTGATGTCTATTATTATTGACATGTAAACATAATTAATCTCAATGAAAATATGAAAATTATTGAATTGTTAGTTACATTTGACATGTATGGTTCATCCTTCATATGTTTTTTTACTATTGGTTGGTGATATCACATGTCAATGATAACGTGGTATATTGAATTTTTATACATATTTTGTATAAAAAATTACTTTATCATTATATAATTTATTTTAAAACTTTATATGCATGACTTTTTTTAATATTGTTCATGATATACTAATTACAAATAACATTATTTTTTTTTATCTTTCTTGAAGTCAATCGTAAAAATTTATGTGAAATATTTTTGTAAAAATTTTTAATGTTGTAATTAATAAGTGCCCCTCTAATTTAATTTCTTGGATCCGCCACTGATAAAAATAATATAGGTATTATAACATTATTGTTTGGGTGCTGTAGGAATCATGGCAGATGAAGATTTCTTCTTATTTATTTTTTCAGTGATGCTACATGCATCAATTAATGTACATATTAGTATATCAATTAGTGTTTTGTCATTATTACTGACCCCGCTTATTATATAAATTATAAATATTTAAAACCTCTAAAATTATCCCACATCATCTCTTAATATACTAACTAACACATTAATTAATACATCTAGCATTATTCTTATTTTTTGGGATAATTACCAACTTAGTCATATTAAGTAAACTTAAATAGTATTAAGTACTATTGATCTTTTGAATACATTAATCAATTCTACATTATCTCTCTCTCTCTCTCTCTCTCCTAAAAGTTTCGCACCATCATTTTCCAACAGTTTCACAATGGTGTATCCGCCGTTGCCATCTATTCGCCACCGTCGTTGTCTACCTATCACAACTATTATTGTCATCATCCACCCATCATCCTCTCTCTCTGTCCATTATTTTTTTTAAAATTTTACACCACCATTGTCTACTATCACCGCCGCCACCATCGTCGTCTACCCTCTATCACTGTCGTTGTTGTCGTCGTCGTCGTCCTCCACCAACCACCACTACCACCACCATTATTATTCTAATGCTGTCACTGTTCACCAACTATCTCCACCATCGTCACCAATCTACAATCTACCATCGTCGATCTACACTTTACCGTCGTAGATCTACACTCCACCGTCACCGATTTACACAACCAACATTTCATCATTGCCTTCTTGTATCAAATTCAGATTTATTTTTCAATATCTGTTTCTCTTGTTCTTTGTGTCTATGAAAGAGAATGATGAATTCTTCTAAGTGAGTGAGTAAATATAAGTAAGGATGACGGATAGTAATGAATAAATTTATGAATCTGCTTAATAAATTTACCTCGATAAATTTATCAGTTAGGACTTGTAAATAAAAAAGTCTAATTAATAGGACCACCTTGTAAATGCCTCATTTTTTTTTTTACACAAATTACACCCCCATAATTTTGAAAATATTTTTTTATTAAATAGGCTGAATTGTAATTTTTCTTTTTTTTAGTTTTTGATATTTAATATATACCTAGGTTTTTTTTGTTTCTCAAAAAAAAAAATAATAATAAGAAGAATTAAGTTTGTTCAAAAATGATCCACTTTTTGCTACCACTATATCACCAACCTCCTATTAGGGAATTATGTTCAATTTGTACGTTTTCGGTTATGACTTTGAAAATGATATGCCAGTAGTTTGTGATGGTGGCGGTGTTGTATTTGTGGTGGTAGAGCAGCGAGGTGGCATGTTAATAGTGATAAGAGTAGTGGTGGAAGTGAAATTGATAAAATTTTAATCTGGAAATTATTATTCAACTTTAAAAACAAATTTTTTCGCTTAAATCAACTATTTTTCATTGACTAAAATAATAATAATAAATAAATAATAAAATTCATTGACTTATATATTTATCAAAACCAAACGCCAGAAGATAACCAAAAAAAAAAAAATGTTTTCATGAAGGCCATGTTTGTTTAGGTGGACATGAGCTTGGGATTGGACTAATAGTCCAATAAAATTATTAATCCGATGTTTGGTTGTTTGGGTGGACATGAGTTTGGAATTGGACTAATAGTCCAATAAAATTATTAATCCGATGTTTGATTAAACAATTGAAATACGGACTAATTATTTTAAACTTATATTAGTTAAGATAGGATACATAATCCAACGGATTCGTAGTCCTAGGACTATTAATCATGAAAATGCTAATCCAATCCGCCCAAACAAACATGGCCAAAATGTATTCCACCCTGTATTCCCACCGAAACAAACGGAGCATCAAACATTGTGAAATATTTCACATTTTTAACAACCATAATTCAGGCCTTAATTGCAGAAGGGAAAATAAACATTTGTTTCCAAAAACCATCCTAGAACCCAAAAAAGATGGAGAAAAGTAACAAATCTACCCTCCAAGAAAAATCCCATAATCTGGAACCAACAACAAATGAAGATTAGGTAAAAACTCAATTTTAATCAAAAGGGGTGAAAATTGAATGCTTCCAATGTGAGCAAAAAATGATAACCCATCACGTAGCAAATCTTCAAGGTTTTTCCATTCTCCTATGAAAAAAACCTGGCCTCAACTTTTGGATGCCAAACGGACGTATTTGCCATCAACAGTGAACTTTGAGCTGGAGTTAATCTGCATAACGCACAGAAACTCATCAACAGAATGTGAAAATCTCATTATTTCTTGCAAGAAGGTGAAAAGGAACCTACTCCAGCAGATGGGTTTTACCTTCTGCTCAAGCGCATCAGTGACATGGCTTTCATCCTCTGTGAAACCAGATTCTCTTAGAGTCTTCAGAACAAGTTTTCTCAGTTTCCTCATTTTCAGAATGCCTTCCGGGTTCTGTTCCACATCACAGCAATAAAACATATATATACACATGCACACCAAACAACAACAATAGTCAATATTCACAAGCTTGGTAGTGTCATCTTAGCCACATTCAAGGGGTTGGGATCCTCAGTTCCACATTTAAAGTTAGGGCTGAAAAATGAACCAATTTACTCAACCTCAACTCGTTAAAAGCTCGTTTGAGAACAGTTTGTTATGTAAACAAGTCAAACTTCCTCGTTTGGCAAGTGACTTTTTTAGCCAAAAAACCAAAAAGTTAATAAAAAAACCAAAAAGCCAAACACATACCAAAAAGTCAAAGATTCTCTTTTCTTTCTACTTTTTGCACATCTTTTCGTAAAAAGCCAAAAAGTCATCCCAAACATACTAGTTTTTTTTAGCTTATATTTTAGCCAAATAACCAAAAAGTTACTAAATTAGCTTGTTCCCAAACGATATTTTAAGCTCATTAAGTTTTTAAGCCAAGATTGAATAACCTCCTACTTGGCTCGATAAGTATATATGCACTACAAAAAACCAAACTACTCGAGTTTGACTAATGTTAAGCTAGTTAAAAACTCCTTCAAATTTAGCTTGTTATGTAAATAACCAAGCTTAAAAACCTTTTGAAACTCATCAAGTGTTCAAGCCAATCTTGAACAATCTACTATTCAGGCCATTTATAGCCCTATTTAAGGGGGGTAGAAGTGGGCCATCTTCCATGCCATCAAAGCTACTTTTTTGCATAATCATGAAGCATACCAACAATTTTTTTATGATGAACATGACTGCTTCATTACGAACAAATTGAAGTGCTAGAGTAGAAATTTGATAATACGTACCGATTTCAAGGTTGATTTGATCAATTTCTTCCACTTAATTTTCTTATTGGCATCTTCTTTACACTCCACTATTTTTTCTTCTTCAGTCACACACTGTTTGGCTTTCTTAACTTGACACTTGGTTTCCTGTTTCTCTGTTATTTCAACCTGAATCACTTCTCCGCTGCCTAATTCACCTGACATATCACCTCCAGCCATTTCCCTATTGCTATCATTTTTAGATGCCTCATGTTTTCTTTTTTTACTTGATAACAAACTCCCATTTCCTGATTCGGAGACATTATGCACAGGACCAACTTTAAGGTTTGGTTGCTCTATGTCTAGATTGCCGGGCAATTCGTCCTTCTGATTGCTTTCTGATGAAACCTTGGCATTTGGAGTGGATTCTTCTGCCAGTTTAGGCTGTTGCTTCGCATGGAAAGCTCGGGCTTTTGCTAGGTGCTTCTTTCCTTCAGCATGGAGAAGCAGGGTTTGCTTACTAGTAGCCTTGGTATTACAAAGGCTGAAGAAAAACAGATAAACCAAGAAACAAAGTCAGACCCCTATCATGAGAACAGAAAATAAAACCACAACTTTAAACCCAAACCAGAGAATCAAACTAAATTCTGAATCACATTATTCAACAGAATGAACCATTGCTTGGAGTAGTAATAAAACTTGAACCATCAAAGTGTGACAATACAGGTTTGAGACAAATACAGCTTGAACCGTCATGCATTTCAAGCTGCTGATAAAACCATTGCATTCTCTGCTCAGATATGTAAGAAAAATACAAATCTAGGTTGTTTCAGGCATGCCACAAATCAAGCCAAAAATACAAGAGCTTTATATTAATTATCACTATTTCGATTCCCATCTCATATTGTGGCTGGCAAGAAAAGAACAATATGCAAAAATCATGATTAAAATTCTAACAAATTCAACCATACCTACAAAACCATGGAGGACGTTCAGATAATCCAACATTTACATCAATATCAGGTTTCTGTTTTACATCATTTTTTGGCTTGGCAGTTGTTCCAGTTGGAGTTTTCCCTGGGCCCTTAGGACCATATTTTTCCTGAAAATACAACAAACAAATTGATCTATTTAGTCAAATACTTAAAACTTCTGCTGAGCTTATGGTAAGTCGATGACACTATCAAGCAAAAATTTCGAAAGCAAAGACAACTAAGGCCTTGTTTGTCATCCCCTAAAAAAGTCAAAAAGCCAAAAAGTCATTATCATCATCTTATTTAAGTCACATCACCTCTCTATCACATCATTTCAAACACAACCTATATTTCATAAAAATTCAAAAAGTGCAATTATTTAGAACATCCCAAACAACCCTTAAACCCAATTATACCCTGATTTTTTTTTCTATTAATTAGCTGGTGTTTAGCATACACCCAAAACAGTCACATTTTTTTTCTAAACTTTTTCATCTTTAGTGATCTTTTTTTTTTTAAATTATGTCAAAATTTGTTACGTTTCCGGTCCATCTTGTGTAGACGAATCTAAAATGTAAAAAAAACAATTTAAAAAAATGTGAACTGAAAATTCAAAATTTGGTACTTTTTTCTGAATATTTTGTCCTTTCTAAATTTCTTTTCAATTTTTTTTTACTTTTCCGGTCTGTCTAGCCGAGTAGAACCAAAAAGCCTAAAACTTCTTAACAAATTTAAAAAAAATGTTCACTAAAGACAGAAAAAAGCCAACAAAAAAACAAACCCATAGTTGAACATAACAAACGAGTTAAAAGAGAGGAAGCAAACATACAATACACATAAATGCTTTCCATTTCTGAAAGCATTTCATATATTACCCCTCCTTCCCTTTTGTCAGAACCAAAAGGAGGGTATGTGTTGCTTTGCTACAACTTCAGTGAAAAACTGAAACTTTGGAAATGAGGCAAGCAATGCTAATTCAATAACCATGTTCTATAAGCATTTTACATAATACAAATGAGTGGTTGGCAAATAATGTTTACAGTGAACACAATTTCAATGGAATTACATAAACCCATTTCTCAACTCAAATTTTCTTTAAAATCAATTAAAAACATTCCGCAATCATAATTGACGTAAATTTGAAATGAATCCCCACAACTCACAATCTATGACTTCCATAATCATACATATATACTATATGTACACAAACATATATACAGTCATAATAATCAGAACATCAATATTGAAAACACGATGAAGGTAAACAAAGTACCGCTTCAGTGATGCACTGAGTGTGTCCTTGAACGCTTTGCCGCCCAAATATTTGTCCGCAATCAATGCACGACAACTACGCAAAAAAACAACAAAATCAACGAACGATTCAAAACACCAAACAATAACGAATTCGATCTAGAACTTGATAATATATATATATATATATATATATATATATATGTATCCATGCAAAAAATTAAGGTTTTAAAAATCAAAATTTAGAGACAAATTAGTTTTTAGGGATTAAATATTTTTGTTATAAAAAGTGTCGTCATTATATTTTTAGTAATGAAAATTAGACATTAGTGATGAATTCTTATCTTTTTTAGACCAAATTTTTTGTCTCAAAAAATAAATCATTTTAAGACCAGAATATTTTGTCCCTAAAAGTCTATTTATTAGTAACATTTTTAAAATTTTGTTGCTAAAAGCCTTGTTTTTGAATTTTCGAAATGACATTTTAGCGATTATCCTTATGACGAAGGTTTTAAATTTAAATTTCATAAGAAATTATTTATTTTATTATTAAATTATTAAGTTAATTAATAAATTTTAACTAATTAAAAATTTAGATAATTTTATTATTATATAAAAAAAATAATTAGTAATTTTTTTAATTAATTTTATTAAAGTAAAAAAATATTATAAGTTTTCAAATCAGAGGATAATTTATATTTTAAACAATTAAATTTGTGAAAAATTAAAGGACTTTGAATTGTGGGCCTTCTAGATTTTACTTGGGCCGGTTGATTAGAGATTGGGCTGTGATGTAAATAATGATCGATCCATAGTTAGATATGTAGGGTTCGTTGCAACAACATCTTATTGGGCTAAGAATGTGAAACAGATCACCAATTGTGCTCAGCCCAATGAGATGTAGCCCATTTAAAGCAAGTGTTTGTTTGGGATGTAAAAAAAAAAAAGATAAAAAATCAAAAAATTACTTAAAATCAAAATAAAAAAAAGTCAATACTATACCCAAAAGTTTAAGCGGGATAAAAAAGTTCAATAGCCAGAGAATAAAAAGACAGAATTTCCCTTCTTTTGTCCGTTCTTCTGGTGCAAAAGAAAAATACAAAAGTGGGATCCACTAGCATACTGCCACATGGTACAATAGTCCACAATGCAAAAGACAGAATTGGGATCCTCTAGCATACTGCCACATGGTTTTGTACAGATCATGGTACAAAAGAAAAAAATAATTAAAAAAAAACAACAAAACCAGTTCACACATCAATTGCACAACCATACTAACATGCACAGTTAGCTTTTTGTCTGAATACATTCAAAACGACTCGCTTACTCCAAAGTTTTTTTTTTGTAAAAAGTTAGAAAGATATCCTAAATAATTATATTTTTTTTTCTCTATTTTTTTAATTAAAAGGTCAAAAAATACACTTAAGTATTAGTAGGATCAAGAATGAAAATTTTGATTTTGGGTTATTATGTAAATTTTTATATTGATATTATTCGAATTAATTTTTAGCTGATAAGTGATTAATGATATACATTTTATAATAATAAATGGATAAGAGCATCTTCAACCCTGAACCAAATTTTTCATCAAATCTGAGTAAAAAAATAACTTTTTCCTCAATCTGATACCGAGTGCTCCAACGGTTGATTTTCATTAAATTTTCATCAAATCTGTGCCGGGATAACCGATTGGTCGACCGGCCAGTCGACCACCAGCCAAAATTTTTTTTTTTGATTTTTTTTGAACTGTTTGAACCTTTTAGTGGTCGACCGGTAAGGCAAATTTTTTTTTTTCAACTGTTTGAACTTTTTTTGAAACTGTTTGAACATTTTGGTGGTTGACCGGTTGGTCAACCGGCTGGTCGACCGGTTGGTCTCCCCCAACGGTCACGCACAGTGTTTTTGTGAAATGCGGAGCCTGTCCTCCTTTTGGTGGAACGTTTGGTGAATTCTTGATTTGATATCAATTTGGTAAAATCGTTGGAGCTCCAAACAATGCTTTTTTCACCAAATTTCAAATTTGATGCTAGGTTTGGTGAAGGGTTGGAGATGGTTTAAGGAGAGAGTATTTATAGAGTAATCTCCATAGTTTCTCTTCATTTATTTTCAATATAGGGGATTTTACAATTTTTAATAAAGAGAAAATTAGTGATAAATCCAATCTAAGGAGGGTATAAAGTATTAAGTCCAATCGATGTTTTTGATTAGTGAAAGGTCTACCATTTGTAAAATAGTTGGTGACGAGTCTTTTCGTTATTTTGGAAAGACATTTTACTTTCAATTTACCTTTTAATTTATCTATTAACTTTTTTTACTATCTGTTTAAATTTATATCTATTTGTTCAATTTTTTAGCCTATCTGTTCAATTTTTTTTTATCTGTTGAATTTTATATCTATTTGTTCAAATTTCACAAGCCTTTATTTTTTCCTATCTTTTTAATTTTTTTTATTTGTTTAAATTGTAATATAGAGGAAACAGATTGATATGTTAAAACCCAAATTGATTGATCTGTTCAAACTCACTTTTTTTTTTCTTTCTCTCTATCTGTCTGTCTCTTGCTCATATCTTTCTCTCTTTATCTATTGATTTCACAAATCCATTTTTTTCTTCTCTTTCTATCTACCTTTCTCTCTACTCCTTATCTCTTTAACTTTATATCTATTAATTTCACACACTTTTTAAACTTATCTATTCAAAAATTCTATCTGTTGGAATTTTCCACTACCAAACCCCAAAAGAAGAAAAGAGAAAAAAGAAAAAAAAAAGAAACTGTAGAATGAAGCACTTGAAGGCTACCAAAAATCAACCTTTCATATAAAATTCACACAAAACATATGGATCTACACTACACAACCGAAATCAACATCAAATCTCTCAAGAATGGTATCACAAGTTCAAATTCAATACACAAAGTATAATTTTAAAACTAAACAACAAAGTATTGATGATCGAGCTTGAAGATCAATGCAAGCTCAAGATCTTGCGTTGAATAAATAAACATCGAAGAAATCTAATTAAAAGCTCTAGGGTGACGAAATAGAGAAATTTTTTAGATCAAACTGGTGAAAAACAGATTTGAGGAAGGAAAGATGAGAGAGTGATGAGTCCGAGGAAGGCAATGACCTGATGAGTAGAAACGGTGTAGAAGATGATCCATGGTTCTAAATCGCGATATCGGGTAACGTAACGATATCGATATCGATCGCGGAGTATCGGTAGTATTGGTCGGTACGTATTAGAAATCGGGTGTCGCGGCGGTGAAATTTAAAATAATATTTCATAGATTTTTCAGTTTTTTCTTTCTCGTACAGGTCCGAACTAGTGAGTATTGGCCCGTCGCGGCTTGTGTAACGGTTACTGACCAATACGTATCGGAACTCAGCCGATTCTCCTGTGATTTTCGATCTTAGCGATATACCGGCCTGTATCTGTCGCGGTGCCCTATTTTTCTGATACGAATCAGCCGATGCGTAGCGTATCGGCTGGTTTTTAGAATAATGAGATGATCACGTAGCCGACTCTTACTGTCGCGGATTGACACATCACAACGGAGCTTTGGATCTAGATCTCCCCGCTGGAGTAATGTAGGAGGGCAAAGGAGTAGTAACGAAAGAGCATCGACGAAGGAGGACAAAGTAGTAGCAAAGAGCACAAATAGAGAGTTTGAAGAGAAGGAGAGTTAGGGTTTGGAAAGGAAGAGAGAATGTGCGACAGTGTGAGAATTTTTGTGTAATGAATCGTGTGTATAATATATAAGGGTTTTTGGTCATTTTGTTTAAATTTGTTCTTTTGGACAAAATATTTCATTGTCTAAACCATTAGCCAAATAAAATTGAAATTTGAACTTTTCATCCTATCGCCTTTAATAAAACCCCTTAAATACTCTTGGGAATTTCTCTTTTACACCGAATGAAATTGCACCATAAGATGCAACAAATCGAAGGGTTCAATTCAGTATTAGATTTTTTTCTCAACTTTGACTGAATAAACTGCTGACAACCTAAATATTACACAAACACAATCATATACAAATATTATGCAAATGTGTGTCTAGTATCAATATTATTTTTTATTTTATGTTCTTCAAAACATGAAAGATGGAAATTGATATGAAAATTTTGCTAGGCAAAACTATTTCTGAATTGTTTTTAGAAAAGTTTTCTAAAACACAGAATTTTTAAAAGCCACGTATAATTTTATTTGGGTAAATTAGAGTTTGCTCCTTCTATGTTTGGTTGCTTTCTTACTTTGGTCCTCAAAGTTTGTTTTCATTTTGGCCCCTTGTGTTTCAAGTTTTTTTCAGTTTACTCTTAAAGATAATTTATGTTCAAAATTAGATAGAAAATGGCAAATTTTTAGGAGTAAACTGAAAAAAACTTAAAACATAAAGTGCCAAAGTGAAAAAAAAAACTTTAAGGACTAACGTGGAAAAATAATCAAACATAAAAGGGACAAAGTGTAATTTATCCTTTTATTTTATTTTAATTTTCAAAAAAAAATTCACAATAAAAATAAAAATAATATGACAATGGTAGGTGTTTATGACTTTTTAATGCTTTTGTTTTTGAAAACATGAAATCAAAAATAATTTTTTTTTAAATCGATGCCGATCGTTTTCAAAAAAATTGAAAATTGAAAACTAAAAACCTATAAACTAAAATTTGACTATCAATTCATTTTTTTCGAACATTTCTTCTAATCATGATAGTATAAAAAGGGGACATTTATTCATAAATTTCTTTCACATACTTCTAATTTACTTAGTCTAATTATTTTTTTTATATTCCAATAAGTCTTATATAAGTGACATAGTTATCAAAATACCCGAATACTAATAAGGTAAATTGCTCATTAATGTTCATATTGACAATATGAATGTTGCATGATGTGAACATTCATACTATCAAATTTATTTACTGTGAATGTTCACATCATGAAATATTCAAAATAGTCCAAAATAGTGCACACCAAGTTGCTAAGGGTTTAAAAAATATTTGCAAGAGTAAAATTATTCATAAAATATCTTAAATATGATAATTATGATTGGGGAACTTTTTCATAAATCCATTTTCATCTACTTATGTTCTATTTAGTC